ACGGTTATGAGAACAAAAAGACAAGTAACAGACAAGGAGAAAATATTTGCAAGTCACTTATCTGATAAAGGACTACTATCCAGAATATTTAAAGAATTCTCAAAACTTACTAAGAAAACAACCCAGTTTTTAAAAATTGACAAAGACTTGAACAGGCTTGTCATCAGACATATGGATGGGAAAAGAACACTTGAAAAGATGTTTAACATCATTAGTATTAGAGAAATGTAAACACAATGATACAACACTACTCATCTATACAGAAATTTTAAGATTATGTTTGACCATAACAAGTATTCTTGAGGAGATTACCAATGTATAAATATGCAAAGAAACATATTGGGTAGACACACCATATTGATTCACACTCTTAGAGCAGGGGTCTCATTGAAACTTATAATGGACAAATAAACCAGGAGGGGAAAAGATTTGAAAGGCTGGCTAAGTCAACTAAGTGAACTTGTTCACACATTCAATATGATATAAAGAGCGAAGAGAAGACTCTACTGGAAAGGCCTCTATGACCAGGAGGTGAAAATGAGAATGAAAAGTAATGGATGGAGTTACACCACTTTTTGTTTTTTGCTCCTCACAAAATTTTCTTCTATCTTGACTGACCCAGTTGCCTCAAGACTGGCCCTGTACTGCTGTGTACCAATACAGCACAATATCAGTGCACAAGACACAACATTCATACCATTAATTTTGACAGTACTTGCTCCTAAGGGAATGTCAGAGCCATCACAGCTTTATGTAGCCAAATGAGGGGTATATGCAGTCCCATTACTAAGCAGCAAGGACAGTCCTATAATTCTTTGTCAAATCTAACACACATCCCTGGGAACAGGGCAAAGGGTAGGCCATGGTAAGACTGATGTTACTGTTTGCTTTAGGAGTAATTAGTAAAGCTGAGCCAGGGGAGGAAGGAATGGGTTAAACAGTCTGCAATAAACGAAACAGGAGATACGGCAAATAGAGGGTTTGACCTGAAAATAATACTCCTGGCTGTCTCTCTCAGCTCCAGTGCTAATGGCTAAGGCTAGAATACACTTGACTCTTTTCCCAGAGAGGAAAAACTGGACTCAAACTGATTTAGGAGTCTGCCCAGTCTCCACTTGGGTAAACTAGCGATGTGATGCAATACTCTCAGTGATTTGAATACCAGTATCTGTCTGGAGCCACCTTTTGGCTCACCATTTGTGGTCAAATTTCCTTGACTGGTTTTCAGGTAACCTGAAGTTAAGAGTATCCCCAACTTGCACAATATGGAAGTTGTTAAAGAGCAAACATCTGCGTGTTCATAGTGAGACTATGAATCAAGATGAGTTTTCCCTGAGAAAGCTGCCTGGGTACGATGGGGAGCAGATTGCTACAACTTACCAGTAACTCAGCACTTACCTTAGAGCAAAGGTGAACACAAATGTAATGAAAAGTCCTTTTATGAAAGTGGCAATGGAATTTATTTATTTTTAAATGTTTATTTTTGAGAGAAAGAGAGAGATAATGAGCAAAGGCGGAGCAGAGAAAGGCAAAGAGAGAGAATCCCAAGCAGACTCTGTTCTGTTAGCACAGAGCCACGTGGGACTTGAACTCATGAACTGTGAGATCATGACCTGAGCCAAAATCAAGAGTTGGACACTTAACAGAATGAACCACCAGGCATCCCTGGAATTTAGATAGCCTCGAAGAGAAAGTACCAATAGAAGGAAGACACTGAACAGCACTGTGAACAATTCGTCAGTAACACCGTGGAAGTAAATATGTTATTGGATTACTCTTTTAATGCACCTTGATAAAGATCAATTGAGAAAATTGACAGCAAGAATTTATTCTAAATATTCAAAAAATGTTCAGCAGGTATGAAACAATGATGCTTTGGCAAAGCAAGGGCAAAGTTTAGATCAAATTTCATTTTGTACTCATTTAGGTCATAATTAAAAAAAATACCACTTTCACAAACAAACAAGTTATCTGCAGTAATAATAGAATATTATTCATAGACTAAAACTATGGCCTAAAACCTGTTTCTGAAATAGGCATCTATAATTTTTTTAGGTAAAAAAGTCCTTAATTTATATAAGCTTCAGAAGCTACTTTAAGTGATCCTCCATAAACATTTCGTAAAATAAGTTTTTAGAATATTTCCTTCTTCCTTTACATGGGTTGGAAGTTTGTACACACACTCAAAAACAAACATGCTCTCAAATATTAGTTGGAAATAAATATTTCTCTCCACTATTTTTAATTCTGGTAAGTTATAAGCAAAGTTTTTTCATTGGAATTCTCCCTCTTTATTGAAAACAGAAAGACAGATTATCACTCTTTCTTTACACCAAGAATCAATGGCTATTTGAACAATACACAAATTAAAAACCAAGCCTATTAGATGGGCACTTGGCTGACTCAGTTGGTAGAGCATACCACTCTTGATCTTGGAGTCATGAGTTTAGGCCCCTCTACCCATGTTGAGAGTAGAGTTTACTTAAAAAAATAAATAGGGAATGCCTGAATAGCTCAATTGGTTAAGCGTCCAACTTCGGCACCAGTCATGATCTCACAGTTAGTTAGTTCCAGCCCCTCATCGGGCTCTGTGCTGACATCTCAGAGCTTGGAGCCTGTTTCAGATTCTGTGTCTCCCTCTCTCTCTCTGCCCCTCCCAGGTGCTCTCCCTCTTTCTTTCTCAACGGTAAATAAACATTAAAAAAATTTTTTTTTAATAAATAAATAAGCAAGCAAGCAAGACTATTAGCAAAATGTAGCTACTAGCAACAAGCAATCCAAAAGATAGTATTTTCTTAATCAGTAAAGATTTCTAAACGTACTAGGCTTTCATTGCTATAAGCAAAAATTAGAAGCTCTAAAGATAATAAATGTGGAAAAAAGTCACCTATTGAGAAAAATTCAACAATTCTGAATACAGAATGCATACTGTGAATTTCTTCCTCTTAAGCATGAAGCCGAAGTATAATAGGAATAACAAGCTGTGCTAGGAATATGTAGATAAAATTTCCAAGGATCTAAAGCATGGATTTTATTTGTAAAAATCATAGCTATGTAACAATATATTTATCTATCATTTAAAACTAAATTTAAAAAATGACACAGTATGGTTATAATGACATCTACTGGACATTTGGGTTAATTACGGTTAACAGGAAGGTTAATTTGAAATTCACCTAACTTCACCATTAATAATAAATTCATGTGAACTAAAATTAGATTACAGTGAATACATTTATTTTCCTTCTTTAATATAATGTACTAGCTCTGTAGAAAAGAGCTACTTCTGAAGTAATAGGCTTCATTTCTTCTCAACCAGTCCTCCCAACCAATATACAATGACATACAACACAGAGACATGCAAGCCTTTTAGCTTTTAGGTCTTAGAATCATGATATGGATTTATCACATAAATTTGGGAGAAATGCTCTTAATATAAATATAGGATATTACATAAAATTTTAAAAGATTAGTTTGAATTTCAACAACGGAAAAATTTTTAACATGTGGAAGTCATCTTACATGTATTAACTTCATAGAAATATTTCTGGTGCAAATACTTTTTGGTTAAAACCATCTTAAAGGAAATTAATACCAATAAACATTGTTATCCTAGCCTAATTTACTAAGGTAAATAGATTTCTGGGGTGCCTGGGTGGCTCAGTTTGTTGAGCGTCTGACTTCAGCTGTGGTCATGATCTCAGTCTGTGAATTGAGCCCCGCGTCGGACTTTGTGCTGACAGCTCAGAGCCTGGAGCCTGATGCAGATTCTGTGTCTCCCTCTCTCTCTCTGCCCCTCTCCTGCTCATGCTCTGTCTCTCTCGGTCTCAAAAATAAGTAAAAACATTAAAAAAAAATAGATTTCTTATACTACCATCCCTTTAAATGAAAGAAAAAAACCCAGAGCATTTGGGAGAGTCAACAAAAATCATGTTTGAAAAACACTGAGTACTAAGAATTCCCAGAACACTTTATTGGGAGAAAAAAAATAGCAAAGAAATATCACAAATTCTAGAGTTAACTTCAATATATTCTTTGATATACCACAACGGTCTTCAGAGCTATCCTAACCAAATCTCAGCCAATTTCAGATTAATTAGGTGTAATCCTTATTCTAACAAATTAGAAAACTAAGTAGTTAAGTGGTCTCTGCATTTTTAGCTACTACTGATTCAAAGTTAAAAACTTTTATGGCTTCCATATATGGACACATTTTGGGACACTATCAGATTTCAAACAGCCACTGGAATTAGGCTTTGGTGGCCCTGAAACCACACTGGGTTAGTATTGGTAATAGTGACCCAAAACTGTTGAAAATGCCAAATTAGGTTTTAACACCTAATCATTATCAGGTCTATGTATATGACTAGGTGACAAGTTTCTCTTGTAAGCAACATCATACTCTTTCCAGGTCAAATTAGAACTCCAATCAGTTCAAAGATAAGGGTTTTTAGTATATACAAGGGCAGGTGGAGTTTAATTTCCCTAGAGGAGCTCCCCTGCCTGTCTGGATGGTCCAGTCAGTCAATGAAACAAATGGAGATGTTGTCTGGGGGCATTTGTGAGATTATTTTATCCCCTTGTCACTTCTAAGTGTGTTGGCAGAATCTCGTATTTTCAAAACTTGTTTTAGAAAAATGCTTCAATTAATCTATAAAATGAGAGTAATAAAGCTATTCTTTTCCCTTCTGGAATATGATTATATTCAGACTAATATAATATTTTAAGGTAACAGACACGAATAAGTGTTATAATCATTTCATGAGATAGTGGTTTCTCACAATCAGAAAGCCATAAAATAACAAAAGAAACAACAGTTTAGTTATTGTTTTATATATATGTATATATATATATATATATATACATATATATATATATTTTAATTTTAATACAAAATTGGATTTTAGAAGTTGTACAAAAGAAAGCCAAAAACACTCTACACATGCATGATTAGCTTTAATAGTTCTTTTTACTGTACATACTGAAAATGTTTACATTTACTAGTAAGGAATGCCAAGCGTGTCCATCACCATTTGAATAGCTTGTAGGGGATTTGTGATTTCTTCCATGTTATCTCTTCTCAAAACCCAATCTGGTTTAAGTCTGAAAAGAATAAAAATCTTGCATTAACAAAGTTCTTCTCTTCAAGGGGTTACCTTCACTGTTTTGTCTGAACTAAAATGTGGCTACTCCTGAGCACATTGCTTCCCTTTTAACAGGTGAGAGGGCTTCATACTATTGCTGTTTACTATTTTCAGGCATTTCTTGTCATCCTTCTTTCTTTGAAGTTTATGCTGTTTAGCTCACCACTGCCTCTGGGTCATCTGTCAACCTCCGGTGTTTTGTTCTTTGTAAACCTGGTTCTTGATCTTCTCTCAACTTTTGCCACCATTCTTAGTAACTTCAACATTCATGCAGCCCAAAAGCCAACAACCTCTTCTGTCAGTTTTTGCCCCCTTTCCTTCTGTTCTACATTAACCAACCCTTTTCCACGAGATCACATAAGAGCGTTTGTCATCCCCAGAAAGTACCCCACCACTGACATCTCAATTTGAGGCTGCCATTCTCCCACCACTTCTGATCTATCCATGTCTTTTGATTTAATACGTTCACTGCACATATTCTTCCACCCTAAGATCTCTGATTCACTGACCTCAACATGTACCCATCATCCATCCATCCATCCATCTATCCATCCATCCATCCATCCATCCATCCATCCATCCATCCATCCGAATGCTGATCTCACTTCCCTCCTTGTCTAGCTTAGGGCCATCAATATAATCCCCTTAGCAAATTTCATTAACGCTATTGTTCTCTATTAAATTCAAATGGAAGGTTCTATTTGGATTCCAAATTGAATTCAAATATCTGCCTTCTCCATTCCTGTACAGCTGAATAGGAAGAAAAGAAAAATTGCAGAAGCAGGCTGACTGGTTTTATGTCAATAATTACAAAGTTAAATGGGTGCTTGAGATTGCCGAGTGTGCTTCCTCTTTCTCCAAGATAACCATTTTATTCCTTTCTTCTTTTCAAATGTCCCTTCCATACATACCCTCCCTGGTCTGCTTTTGAGCTAATGTTTATAATCTCATACTTCATTAAGAAAATAGCATTCGTCAGAGGGGAGGTCATACATCTTTCTCACATAAATCCCTACTATGATATGCATTTCCATCTTCTTATTCTTTCCTGTTAAAAATCCAAATATCTATCAATTGTTAAGTGGTCAAAGTGTGGTATAGCCATACAATGGAATAGTACTCTGTGATAAAAGGAAATGAAATTTTAATTTATGCATCAACATAAGTAAACCTCAAAAACAGTAAGCTAAAAAAAGAATCCAGTCACAAAAAGCTATATACTGTATGATTCCATCTGTGTAACCATAGAAAAAAGGCAAAACTAAAAGTACTCAAATAAGATTAGTAGTTGCCTGAATCTAGGGGCTAAAAGGAGACAACTGATTACAAAGAGGCACAAGGTAACTTTGGTGTGATGGAAATATTTTATCTCAGTTGGTAGTGGTTTCACAACTGTACATGTTTGTCAAAAGTCACTGAATTGCATACATATATAAAGGGTGCATGTATACACTGCTGGTAAATTCTACCTAAAAAAAGTGACTATATTGAAAAAAAGGGGAAGCTAGTTATTCACTCATGTTAATTATAGTTTTAAAAACATAATTAGTATTAAAATTTACCAATTCCTTAAGTAGAAATCATATATAGAAATGGTCCTCATTAATAAGTTTCAAGCAAGTGCTATTTTTATGTTATATTGTGAAATATGCAATCAAAATTCCAATTTGCAACTATTACACAGTTTGTTATAATGAGTAATTATAAAGCAAACTGCTAATGTTAACCCAGGTCAAAAAATAGTGCATGTCAACACTGTAGGATTTATGCCTGGCAGAGAAGTGCTGAGTCACAGAAATGGAGACAGGCAGAAAAGGAAGGAAGGAAGGAAGGAAGGAAGGAAGGAAGGAAGGAAGGAAGGAAGGAAGGAAGGAAAGAAATAAAACATCATGAGTTAATTTAGTTCATCAAAACCAATTAAATCTTTTATTAATAAGGTAAACTCAGAAAATGCTAACTTGCTTATTTTAAAATAAAATTTTAATATTGCTTCAATAAAATGTAAAAGTCAAAGCTGAAGTTCTAATGTTATAAATTCTGGGTCATAAATAAATTCATAAATAATAACAAACTTGTCCCTTAAATCAGTATTATAATTCCAATTTAGACCTTCTAACAGAAGAATGTTCCTACAGTTCTCTATAACAGAAGACCAAATTTTGTCATAAAAAATTCAACAAATATCACACTTAAAAAGGATGAATTTTACTGTATGTAAACTGTATCCCAATAAACCTGACTTTACAAACTATGTAGTAGCATGGTTACATTACTACCTAAGTTTCTAAATGCTGATTCTCTGCTCCTGAACTTTTAGCAACACAGAGCAGTAACAGACTTTGCAGCCTGGCACTGGTCTGGGGGTCACACTTATTAGAGTAGCACAAAAAGGTGTGAGGTGATTCAGGTTTGCTTTAGTGACAAGAATCATATTTGGATGGTCTTGTGTACCAGGAGACACAATATTGGGTGGTCTTATCTTTTTGTGATGTTGAGATTCATCAATGGATTTGACTACTGCCACAAACATCGATTTAATTCATCTAAAGCTTTTATCAAACATGCATGTTCGTGGCCCAGAGCACACCTGTTATTTCATGAGGGGCCACAAAATAATAATAGTTTCATATACCTTCTGCATTTATTAAACAGAATTTTTTTTATAGAAAACTTTTCTACAACAACCATTTGGTCACCTAAGATATAGTATGTATAAAAAAAAAATGGGAAAGATTTGACTCCTTCCTTTTACCCGTAGTAAGTATCATGAGTGGTTTCTCTAGCATCCTTCAAGGGTAAGCAATGAGTTTTTTCTTTAGTATCATTATAGACTCATCAATTTTTCATCTGATGTGTTGCACTTGTTTGCAGTCCTCATGCCTCTGTGTCACTGCCTCACCACTGGCTTCCATCTTGTCGAGTCCAAGGGCAAGTTTCACACCTCATCTAACAGCCTCTTAGCAGCAAGCTGAAGGGCTGATGTGCCGCCAGTCTGGAACAGCGTCTATCCAGTCAGCAATTCCTGTCCAGAGCTGTTGGCTGGTTCTTTCTCTTGTCTCAATTCTGGAGAAATTGGGGTTACTCTGAGGGTCAGTTTGGGGCATTCTTTTCTAGGTATTCTCTTCCCCTGAGGTGATCACGTTCATTGCGATGGTCTTGAATGCTACCTAATGATTCCTGAATCTAATGATTACCTAATTTAAACCTCTAGACTGATTCTTCTGGCCAGAACAACAGCCCTGATTTTCTAATGGCTTGTTTGTCTTTTCCTCTAATTTCTCATAGGCACCTCAGACTTACCCAAAACAAAACCCATGCTTCAACGTCCCTTCCCACTCTATCTTCTGTCCTTCCTTACTTTTACTTCTTGTAATTATATCCCAGAGACAATTTCCTAGTCACAGCAATTTTAGCAGGCCCTCTGAGTGATACTCTATCCTAATAGCAACCACAATCTTTGTTACTTTATTTGCTTATTTATGGTCATTCTCCTGAACTATGTAATTCCATGCTGTACAATAATCATAAGTCCAGCGCCTTAAAGCACAGGGTTCAGCTCTATACCATTCTTACTCTCTGACACTGATGGAGGTGTCTACTTGGTTAACCAGGTAAGCTAACACCCATTTTTTTTTTTAAACTTCTAAAGTTACATGTCTTAAACTAGTTAAGCTACTATTATCTGTATAGGTTGGCTGTTGGCTGAATGGTGGCCCCCACACCAAAACGATACATCCACATCCAAATCCTTAGCATCTGTTAATGTTACCTTATTCTGAAAGGGGGTCTCCACAGATAAACATAACTAAAGGATCTTAGGATAAGATCATCCTGTATTATTGGAACTGGCCCTAAATCCAACATATGTCCTTTTAAGAGACACAGAGGAGGGAGAAGGAGGAGAGGCCCATGTGAAGACAGAGGCAGAGAATGGAGTTATACAGCAACAAGCAAAAAACACCTAGAGCCACAGAAACTGCAAGTCAAAGACAGAGTCTGCCACAGAACCCTCAGAGAGACTGAGGCCTTACTGACACCCTGGTTTTGAACTTCTGGTTTCAAGAATGTTCAGAGAATAAATGAGTCTGTGGTTATTTTTTACAGCAGTTCTAGGAAACTCATGCAAGGTCTCATAAAGAACTTCTCTAGAAGGAGAAATTTCAAGTACCAGGAGGATTATGGGAGGAGTTGGAAGTTGATATTTTGGCCACGAGGGATTTTTGGCAGTTTCTAAGCAGTATAGTTTGTCCTACATGCAGGAAAAAAAAGTTTATACGCCAAAGCTTATAAAAAGCTAATTTTCAGACTTAGCACTTAACTATTTAATACAATGAATTTATTGAATGACTATTAAATACACAAAGCCACAGGGTTATTGCTTCATTATTTACTGAGATTGTCTATTTTAGAGTTACCAAGGATTCTATTCTTACACATACGTTGTTTCTCCGCTGTCCAGCACAATACCTTGCTTTATAGTACATACTCAGTAATGTTTGCTGAATGAATGAATGAATGAATGAATGGATAGTGGCACAAAACTATAGAGTACATTTACTGCTTACCTTGAAACTATTCTGGTTCTTAAGGGTGTTTCTGGAATAAATGGAATACTTATAGAAGAATTCTTCTTTTGGGTATAAAGTATTCTTTCAGTATTCATTTTATGTTTACGAGCTGTAAGTTTGTAGAGACTATAAATACGGTCAACAACTTTGGACCTACTTCGAACATCCTAAAAAAGAAAATGTACATTTATTAAAACTAGTAACAATTTTGTAGCCCTTCTATGCTAGTAAAAGCAACAATAATAACCACTATAGTGTAAACTTATGAGCTTTTAACAAAATCAAAAGCCATTCTTTCCAAATTTAACAGTTAGATTGGTTAACATTATATAAACTAATTTGTAAGACAATTATAAAAAAGGCAAATATTTAAAAATTATACACTTAACTCCATACGGAATAACAAGGTAAATATTATAGTCAATATATGTATTATCTGGAGTTACCAAAGCCTGTGAATTTTCTCTCTTCCTAGTTTCCAACGTTATCCACTTATCTCTTATAATACAACCCTAGGTCAAGTACAATTTCTTACCCAGACCACTGTATCTATATTTATATTTATATTAATATTTATATCTATAAATCTCTCTATCTCTATCTCTATCTCTATCTCTATCTCTATCTCTATTTCTATCTCTATCTCCCTCCTTCCTGGTTTCCCTATATCCACACTGAACGGTCTTCATACATCCACACTTTCCCAAATCTATTCTTCAATCAGTAGCCAAAGTCATGTTAGAACCCAAACTGGAGCATACTCTCTTACGTAAATCCTTCAGTGGTTTTGTTCTCACAGTGAAGGCCAGAATCCTATTACAGCCTACGGTCAACTCTCTGCCGACTGTAACACCTAGAGAGGTCTCACCATGGAAAAACTTGAAATGTACTCACGGTTACAACAAGAGGATGTGGAGCCACATATATGTGGTTTTCTACCTGGATAGGATCATTTGTTTCTTTCCTCAAGTAAAAGGGAAATGGCTATTTCTATAGCCATAGTACATTTTATTTTTGAAATTCGGTTTCTTTAATATGTTAGAAACACCTCTTATATCAACAAAAAAGGCAGGTTTGAACATATACAAAACCCTATTTAAATTGTGATAATTACTGGGGTGTCTGGGTGGCTCAGTCAGTTAAGTATCTGACTTCGGCTCAGGTCACAATCTCATAGTTTGTGAGCTCGAGCCCCGTGTTGGGTTCTGTACCAATGGTGCAGAGCCTGCCTGGGATTCTCTCTCTCTCTGCCCCTCCCCCACTTGCTCTCTATTTCTCTCTCCCTCTCAAAATAAATAAATGAACTTAATTAAAAAATTGTGATAATTACTGAAGGAAAAGTGTAAAAGTCTTAGACCTGAAAACCTAGAAAGATACCTGAAAGAAAGATAATTAATACTTACGGAGGCTCGATTTGTTGTCTTCAATAAAATAGCTAACAAACAACAAGTTTTTGTAAAAATGCTTCCACCCTTGTCTGCAACTTTGTCACCGGGCTTTTCTCGGTACATCTGTAAAAGGTCCAGTAGTGTGTCTATGCAGTTTTCTACATGGTAAACTGCTGCAGTGGTTTTCTCATACTTGAAGAGAACAGAAAGAAAGCAAAAGTTATAATAAATGCATATGCTCTTAGAAAGAGCCCAAGCGGAAAGAAAGCTTAGGACCAACTTTTTGGACTATCTACAGCCAGTGCAAGGGACTTCATGAAATGAATTTTTGATAGTACTATCATTTCTGAATCCATTTTATATGCATATCTGCATTGTAATTTTTCTCTTCCCACCTACTTTAAAGTGCCATAAAATGTGAATCAAATCTAGAATCCCTGAACATGAACACCTTGAAGTAAATAAAAACAAACTCAAAAACAGGGCAATTTTAGTGAGAATCTCTCAGGAAAAACAGAACTTATCTGTGATAGTTAATCATAGGGTAAAATACTGATAAAGGCTAAGATTTAATTAGTTACCCTACTGCATGCTTCTTGAGAGGAAGATGCACTTGCTTTAAAATAAAATAAATTTGAAACTAGTAAATTTAGGAGATATTTTTCCTGCCTCAATTATCTCCTTGTATCACTAGATTCATATTGAAATTTGCCTGGGAACAAATCATGTGAAGGATACTAAGACAAAAATAACAACAAAACAATATTAGCAGTTAACATTTATTTGGCACATCTATGTATGAAGCACATTATATATATTGACTCACTTTATCCTCACAATAACATTATGAGGTAGATACTATTACTTTATCCATTTTACAGTTAAAGAACATGAAGCACAAAGAGGCTAAGTAACCTAAAGTAAGCTGCAGAGCTATGATCTGAACACTGGTGTTCTTAACCACTCCTTCTCAGAAAGAAAATACTGGATAAAGTGCTCTAAGTTGTGGCTGAAGGGTTGGTTGGGGAAAATAAATTTGTCATCTCAATACTTTTGATTACATGCATTTATAGTTTCGTACAGATATCTGCCACCAGTCCAACGCCAAAAACGTAATTTCTAATACCTATACAGAATATGACATACAGGGTAACTAAGTTGAAGCAATATCTTAATCATGTTTTGCCAGACATGATTGTAAGAGGTTCTACTGCTTTGATACAATGCAGTGAATAAGAACACCAGTTCTAGAGGTGGACAAAAAATGGATCCAAATTCAGCCCTACCACTTATCACATTCAAGTGCTGAGGCAGGAGGCTTAATTTCTATAAGGATTACTATTCCTTCTCTATTAAACAAGAATAACAGGAACTGCCTCAGAGGATATTGTTAAGAACTAAATTAAATGATGCATGAAAAACACTAGCGCATCGTAAGTACTCGATAAATGTTAGTAATCATTATTATTAATATCATAAAGACAAGAAATAAAATCATAAGAAATTAGTGTTTCTATGTATAATTATGTTAATGCATTAAACATTTCCCCCACCTAAGACTCTTGCACACAAATTAATTCTAACTTGGCGATCTAAATTCCAGTGGTGAGCAAGCACGAACTTAATTTGCTGGATCAGATTTCTTGACCAATGAACAACTCATTATCAAAACGTTACTACCTTAGCGACATTAAGCAAGACTTGCACAGAGTATCTGATGACTTCCATACAAGGAACACTACGATTGCAACTTCGGATCAAAACAAATATTTTAGAAACTGCTCCACTCTGGGCCATGTTCTCACAGCAAAGTGGAGACAATCTAGTAACTACCTCTGAAAGGAGGAGAAAAAAAAAAGAGAGAGAAATAAATTCACAGCAACAAAATGAAGTTTTAGCTAATATTGTATTATAACACTCTTTGCACACTCAACGGTAAAAATGCATTTCTAACCTCATACAAGATATTGTTAAAACAAACTAACCTAGGTGCTTTAGAGCCTCAAGAATAGCAGAAAGGTGCTTATATGTCAAAAGATAATGAAGTGCAAGAGCAGTTCTTTTGTAGAGTTTGTTTTCTTCTCGAATCTCCTTATTAACAAGTTGAAGACTTAGTCGTATAGCTTTAATTTTTGTACCATCATTTTTCTTCCTCCAAGAGTATCCTCTCCATAATGCCTTAAAGAGACAAAACACAGTGATTGTAAGATTACAATCCATGATGTTTTGAATTTATATCTATTTCTACAAAACAAGTATTTTCAGTAAATTCATATGATGTAACCAGACACTTTGCAAATAAAATTTCAAGTCAGGTTCTAATAAATAGCAAAATCAATTTTTCTGGAAAGAAAAATATATATCATATTCCTGTATATAACCTGAAGCATCATTCACTGACCAAAGATATCTAAGTCTATTTTAAATGCTAAGGTATTTTTTCATGTCTTCATCATAAATGTCTCTAGGGAAATCTGAAAATAAAGGGCTTAGCAATGACATAGCATTTATGAGTTATTTTATTGGTGAACCTCAGCTTTTTAAAATATATGTGGTTGTGTTTTTAACACGTTAGATGTCTCACGTAGGTGAATTATAAACCAGAGTCTGGAACTAACATCGTAATGTTTTCAGTTACCTGAATTTTAGTGATTCCATTATTAATTTTTTCTTTTTTTTTACGGAGGAGAAAACGGCGTACTGCTTTCTGTATTACTGATGCAGCTCTATTTTGCTGGCTCATATGTTCTTGAAGTTCACGCTGACTTTTTATGACACTATGACATTTCTGAGCAAACCTCTTTTGCTGTAATCTTGTTCGAAACCATCTCTGTTTAAAACATTAGAGGCTTTGTTTTTTTTTTACTTCAGGTTTTTAAAATAAATAAATACATACATACACATGCATACATAAATGAAATAAATAGAACATTAGATTGATATCTTTCAATCCTCCCCAGTGGCATTACTTCTCCACTCCATCTGGTACAAATCCTCTAGCACTCACTGAGCGGGGGGAGGGTGTGAATTTAACCCTGTACAACATGGCCTTCATTTCATAATTTATATAAATTCTATCAAGCTGTATGTGTTCTTCTGCAATTTGTTTCCTAACTCAGTATTTTATATGTAAGTATATGTTAATGTATACAGATTTCTTACCCAGAATACATAAAAACCTATAAATCATAAGAAAAAAGAAGATGCAAAAGAGAAATGGGCAAAGTATATGGAAAAAACAACCCATACATACATACATTAACAAAAAGCACACAATACACAGATAATAATTTGAATAGTCAACACACGAAAGATTTTTTAGAACTGCTTGCAATCAAAGGAAATCCAAAGCAAAAATGAGATACAATTTGCCATTCATCAATACAGCAAAACCCAGAGTCTTTTAATGCTGTGTGTTGGCAAGAATGTAGAAAAACAGGTACTCTCAGACTTTGCTACAAGAATAAATGAGTACAATTATTTCAGAAAATAATTCATAGCTTTATTCCTGTATCATAAAACATCAACCTATTTCTAGCCCATCAAGCCATCCTAAATATGTCATCCTAAAGCAAAAGGCTAAATATTATATGATCTTAGCATAAGGTATTTTGAAATTATTTATTAAAATAAAAAAATCCATAACAAAAATTTTACCACATAGTTTTACTGCAAAGGAAAAGCCAACCTGAACACAGATGACTGAATTAACCTGCTTCTTAGCATTCTTCATAACCATGTGAAGTTTATATGCTCTTTGAATTCTAAGAGCAGACAGGTGACAATATGCAGCTGCTGTGAAGTGAAGAAGCCTAATTTTGGTTCTCTGTTCTGAAATCTAAAAGAGAAATAAAAAATTAACCACACATTTGACTCTTAAGACAATCGATCAGTGTTTATTTTTGTATATCCTCCATACTGAATTATATAAATTAGCAATAATAAATTAACTTTTAATTACTGAAATTATTTACATTGATGGAACTCAAAGTGATTATAATCTTTTACTATACAATATTTCCAAATGTGTACCCCCTAACTCAGAGTATAAAAAAGCAAAATTATATTTTGGGCACTTTACTAAAGAACAGCAATTTATTTAACTGGACTACACAATAACAGTAAATAAAGCTTTCAATGTACTAACTATAATATGAGAAGTCTATGAATACAATACTCACAAAAATGTTGTGAGAACTGTTGGGAGACGGTGATAGTAAGTCAGACAAAATTATCTGAGTGGATTTCTCCGGTTATTAGACAGTCCAGCACAAATCTAGCACAAGACTCTTTGCAGCAAAACCTCTCTATAGTGGCCTTTAGACCTCTAATTTGTATTTAATGAACACAGCAGAAGAGATTTCTCCTTTTTAATTTCAAATTTAAGTATTTTGTCTTTGACAGCGTTTTGCATATTGATGCCAAAAACGTTGTGACCTCCCCGGGAGGGATTCTTTCTTGCTGAAGATGTGGAAGTTATCACAGGAAGAGTAGCTAACAACACCTCAGAGTTGCTGGGTGGTAGCAAAAGGCTACTTGAATGACAACCTCCTTCACAGTTGGAGCTCCTCCCTCATCCTTCTTTCAGTTCCTTTGTTAAGATTCATTACAAGAAAAAAATTAGTTTGCATTTTTGGTGAGCATCTATGAGAAACAGGCTCATAAAACAAAAATCTATAGCAACCAGTGATCTTGTCATAGGCCTCTGCAGAAGCTGAGCCGTTATATTGGTTATATTATTAGTTCTGAAATTATTCTCCAAAATCTAAAATTTCTTAACACAATTTAACACCACATACCTTCATTTCTTAAGACTGAGGTATTCTACTTAAAAATACTTACTCTTTTCCTTACTAACCAACCGCGCACTAGTGCTTGTAGAACAACTGTAGATTTTTTCAATTCAACATATTTTATCCTTTCACACTTCCCGGCCTTCCTGGCTCGTATATATCTCTGTATGGTCAAAGCGGCAGACTTCTGCCGAAGAAAGACCTGCCTTCCTTTGTATCTTCTAAAATTCGCTTGAATCAAACAAGCAGCTTGATGTCTCTACAAGGAAAAATTTGAGTGACTTAACAGAAAGGAATAATAATTTCAACCCACTGGAGGCTTTTGAATTTCTCAATGAAAAATGAGATGGTGTAATTATGATTTTGTTTTTTACATTTTTAGCTTGAGAATGTCATATTTCATATATAAGGTGACTGTAATTTCTACAGCTAAAAATTAGGTTTTTATGAAGGTGCAAGCCAAGGTCAATAGATATCTGGTGTTCTTTCCCTCATCTTCCTGATACTTCTCATTGTGAGGGAGAAAAGGACTAATATTACCAAAGGACAAATACATTTAATAAAAGTGTGAGCAATATAGAGAACAGAATGGGCATTATAAACAACTACCAGGGAAGCTGTCTGTTGCTTTGAGAACCAAAGACTACATCTCAGAACCAGCACATCTTAGACTCCTCGATTATATAACATCTTGACAACCAATTCTAAGAAACCTAAAGAAGTATATAAATTAAAATGGGCACTAGTTCTGTTTTACAACATAGATTCCCCACCAACTAGCTGGATGATGTTGGGCAAGTCACTTTATCTCTCTAGACCTCAGTTTCCTCATTTGTAAAATAAGAATACTAACTACTTCAATTAATAATCACTACACCAGAGGGTTTTTATGAGGATCAAATTAGTAAATATACACTAGTAGGCATAATAATAATAGCTATATAATAATAGTGAATATTACATTGAAATTTACAAATAAAATTTTAATTTTGCTTTCTTTAATAAAAGACTATAGGTACTGCAGCTATTCTAAAACTTTGATGTTAAATATTTTGAATAGGCCACCAATTGTAGTTTAAAAAATTTTTGTTTGACTTATAGTAGACAAAATATGCTACATCTATTATGACTCTCTCCAAATAAATTATTTACTCTAAAATTTAGTTCAAACTTGGGTTTCAGAATAGTTTTTAAATATAAATATACAAATTAATATATTCATAAAATGTATTTTTAAGGGTGAATATAATTTTTAATTGACTGCAATGACGTGTTTAAAATAAATGTATAGCTAACAAAAAAAACCAATTCCTTTTGTTTTCTTTCCTAAAATGGCTCTTTGCAAATGAGCTTTTTTTTCCCTTTCTTTACCTACTTTTATCATTAAGAAGTGCTCATGAGCTATTCTTCCAGAAAGCATAGCTCTCCATTTTCTCTGAATGATAATTGTTGATGCTCTCATATTCAAAAACCTAAAAAGTAGGTATTGGAAAGCAATTACAAATTTCTTTAATTTACTCAGTAAGTATTTATTGCCCCCCCCCCACTACTTAATACTAGAGAAAGAAAAAATAAGAAAGGCAATGAAAGAAAAAAAGAAAGTGGAAAAGAACAATTTATACTTTAATTCTAGCAATCAGAATTCTACACACACACACACACACACACACACACACACACACACACATGAACTGACACAATGAAAAATAAGTTTTGCAATTGGCAATGTTCGTAGCAAGAAATATGAATTTCTAGAATGAGAAAGAACTCCAACCAGGATGAAAAGAAAGTACAATTATCCAGACCTACACAAAGCCTAGATAAAGGGGATGCTGACAGAAATAACGGCAGAGTCTAAAATCTGGGTCCATATTGCAAGTGAGTCTTTGAGCAGATAGGAGCGGGTCACAAAAAGAACTTGGGAGATTAGAACAGCATCAGGCAAATGAGAAATGGAAATATGTTTGAAAGGGAAGCCAGGTATTGTACAAATATCTGAAAAGAAATGTTCTGTAAGGAGAACTAGAGAAAAACTTAAAGACTAAGGGCCAGAGATTAAACGTTAGGGGCCAACATAGCAGTAACACATAAAAATTGAGAATGGATTTAACTTACATCATGTTGCCACATTTCTTAGAAAATAAAGCAGAGCACCAATGAGAAAAATTCAAGATTTTGGTACAGGAAACTTAGGTACTACTGGTCCTTAACAGCTGATAGCAGCAACTATATCTTTATATGGTAAGCACTGAGCTTCCACCCGTGGAATTTATCAAGAAACTCTTCTAACATTAGAGTCTCTCCTAAAACAATCTTTAAAACTATCACTGATATAATAATTCATCAATTCTGGTAACTGGGGGAAAATTCTTACACCGTGAAATAAAAAAATAATATAGATAATCTGATAAGAGCTTCAGAAAATGTGTTTCAAAGAAATGAACTAGGAACAGGAAAATACAATGAACAAAAATAAGTTGGTAATTAGGTCTTCATTAAAGTAAAATAGGGGGGCTAATATAAAGTAAAAAGAGAAAAAGAAAAAGAAAAAAGAAAAATGATTGTATCAAGGCTCTATCTCAAAAAATAAGAGTCTTATTTTGTTTCATCAGTGGAGATAACACTAACAAAAGAAACCATACAAGCTAGGCGTAGCAAATATTTAAAAGACAAAGAAATAAGCAGTATTATTTTATATAAAGACTTAGCTACCACACACACAGACCCTCATACTCCCCTAACACAGTTATGATACATTACCGTGTTCTCTCCAGTTTGGTATAGAAACAACCTTGAATGACTTTAACAGCTTTTAATATAGCTAGATATTCTTTACGTGCTTTCCAAGACCTATACCAGGCTTGAATCTTGCAAGCGGCTTTCACTTTATATAAATACTTCCTGGCTTTATAGCTCCTCCACGCAGCCTATTAAATACATAAATATAAAAAATATGCAAGGAGATGTATTTTTTATTGTTGTTAATTGAAAAAAAATCAGTATTAAACATAGCTAATGTAATGCTAAGTAGACAAAATCAATTGCAGAAATATAGTCATATGATGACTCTTCTATTAGGCTCATTCATTCCTGACATAGATGAGCCCCCTGAAACAGTGCAGCTTACCACAGTGAACACCTATTATATGCTTTATCACACGTACCCTGGCTGGCTGACAGCTAAGCCTAATATAACCTTAACAAATATTCCTAAATTTTAATATATGTATAATGTCTGAAAAGCCAGATGCGTGTATTGTCCTTACTATCTCAATCCGTTTGGAAGAAAAGAAAGCAAAGGAACACACTGACTACTTATTGGGAAGGAACAGGAATCTCTCCTACCTCCCACCCACCTCCCTCACATGTATCCCGGGTTTTGTGTCCAGGCTGCAACAAAATCCTGAGAGCAGCTATCTGTCTGAGGACTATCAGTTTTTCCAATTTCTGCAACCTTGCAGCTGACTACATGTATAAGTGACAGCTATAACCTATTAAGCCCTTCGCACTAAGCACTATTAAAACCTTATAATAACATAGGTAGATAATATTTAATCTAGAGACGAGTAAACAAGGCCCAAAGAAATTGAGTAACTTGTTGATGTGCAGGTAATAAGTGGAAGAAGTACCTTTATTCTTTACAAATATCTCGTGAGATGATTATTAAGATCTCTATTTGACAAAACAGAAATCAACGTCGACGAAGAAGAGACTTGTTACACCACAAGGCCAGTAAGCGACAGAGTCAAGATCTGAACCCAAGTCTTGACTCCAAACAAATACTGCAGCCACAATCTACATGGGGATCAAGCTCCAAATTGAGCTGACAAGCAACAATTACTCTTGTGATGTCCTTAACTTACTCAGAGCATATTATATATGGCTTTTATGTAAACAAACCTGAACACCAACATATTGGTATTCACAGTAGGAGCCAGGCATCAGTATTTCTAAAAATTCTAAGTGATTTCAATGTGCACTAAAGTTTGAGACCATGAAGGATATGTTAAAAACCAGACGTGTAAAGTATAATTTTTAAACGTAATCATGTATGAGAAAAATAGTCAAAATTTCCTAAGATTGTTACTGTGGCTTTTCTGTCATTTCAACTGAATATAACCCTAACTAACACATCTAGTTAACACATTTCAACCCTTAACTTCTTGGCAGCATTTGGAATTTGAGCATTCGTTTCTTCTTCCCTCAATCCTTGGTTTCTTGATACTATAAATCTTTCAGTTTTCTTGTTCCCTCTTAATACCATGTGTTGGCGTCTCCTCTCAATGTTCTCACATGTTGACGTTCTTCAGTGTTGGAGTCCCCAGCAGGCTCTCTCCTTTTACCCATTTTCCACATTACTCCTACGTGATCCCATCACTCCATGACTTCAACGATGCTATGTATGCCAATAATGTAGAAGTCAAATTCCAAAATCTGTACTACTCTCCAAACACAGCCAGCTGCCTTGCTAGATACTTCAACTTCATCATGTACCCCAAACTGCACACCTCATCAATCTTCCAGTCTGCTCCTCTCTGCTGCCTCTGTCAGCGAATGGTAGCATCTGCTGTTACTTAAGTTGCGCACGTGGCTTGAAAACTCGTTTAGGCTCTATGTGATGCAAGTACTACGCCCTCCACTCAAACGAATCCTTGCAATCCCATTGCCACTACTAAACTATCTTTCACCTGACCTACTGCCAACAGCCTCCTGGCTGGTCTCTCTGCTTCTAGTCTTGTTCCCCTTCCAGTCCCTCTTCCACATTATTGCCAGAGCAATTATTTTCAAAATAAAAATATGATTCTGGTCTTCTTTTTAAACTCTTCTAGAACTTCTTTTAATCTGATGGAAAAAGACTACCCTTCTATGTCTTACAAAGCTATCCACAATCTCACTCCCTCTATTGCCATCCTGGTCTCCAATCACTCTTTTCACAGTACTACACACACTCTCGCTCTAGTTTTTGAACTCCCTGTTATCTCCTACAACTAGAATGTTCCTTGGATATATTTTAGTGGGCTCTTTCCAATTCATTCTTGAGCATAACATCTCAGCTTAATATATGTATAATTTAATATATTATACATATGCATGTTAATATAACATATATATAATATATAAATATTATACATATACATATTAATATAATGCATATATATATGTTATATGTAATAATAATAATAATAATAATAATAATAGAATGAAAAAAATAATATAAAATTGCTTTGGAAACCAGAAGTGCTAAATGCTCTGAATAAACTACACAGGCCTATCTAGCTTAAGTAGGTCTTATTAGCAGATTGTTAGAGGGATAAAATTATACCATTTGGCCTAAACTTGGCCAAATATCACTTTACCTTAGCTTCAATTTCTCACTTAAAAAATAATTTTACTCAAAAGAGTAAAACTATAAACAAACTATATTCTCAAAATTAACACCCACTGAAATGCAACAAGCATACAGCGATCATGTCCAGAGGAATTCTAGTTCTGCACTGTCTTAGCTGAATTATTAGTTCCCTTTTCCCACTCTCAAAAACGTTCCATTTTGGAAGAAAAGTGAAATGGTCATGTAAACTAAGTATTATGTTTTATGATCTGCTTAAACTCATTTTATAAATCTAACAAATATTGGTTAAGGAAAGAATGCAAGCGTTACATTTAAATTTACAAGTACCTGGATTTTTATGGTGCTATCCTTAATTTTCTGAAACTTTCGTTTCTGTATAAGTCCTCTTGTTCTAGCTTGAATAATGATAACACTGCTCCTAACGTGTAAATATGCTTCTCTTTGAGGTTTTGCAGACAAAAAGCCTCTGTGGTGATTTTGTAAAACCGATGCTGCTTTCCTATACAATAAAAACTGCTTTCTTGCTTGCCATGTCCTGAAATACTGCTGTAGGGTTACAGCAGCTCTTTTCTGCTGGACAAATCTTCTCCGATACACAGCCATCTGAAGGAAGGACTGAATTCGTATGGCAGCATGCTTCTGTGTTTCCAATATTTCTGTGGCCGTTTTACAAAAAGCTTTTTGAATCGTTACTGCAGCCCTGCCCTGGGAATGACACTCTGCCTCCTGTGAACAAGCAACTAGAGAAGTTCTATGCCACTTCTGAATCCTAAGTGCTGAGCTTTGCACAGCTTCATACGGAGTTTCAGTTCTGTGGCGGCAGAACGCAGATCGCTTCTCAATGGCTGCCATCTTTGCCTCAGATAGGTTTTTCAATTTCTGTCTAACTTTCATGCCTCTAAAAGCAGCCTGAATAATTCGTACAGATTTCTGGAGTGCTAAGAAATTTTTTCTTTCCGTTTTTACCCTGACGTATGACCTATAATAATACTGTATAAGAACAACGGCAGTTTTCTTTGCCCGATAATCAAGTTTGGCCCTATGCATTCGGTAGAGTGACTGAATTAGGGTGGCAGCCAGGTGCATACGCTGGATATCCTTTCGGACCTTAAAGCCTCTGTAGGAAGACTGTATACAAATGACCGCTTGGGTACGCACTGCAGTTAGTGCTCTGTATCTCCTCTGAACAAAGACTACTTTTGCTCTGAAGTGCAGATAATGCTTCCTTACTTTGGAGGCCTTAAGATGCTTCTGAAGAACAGTGGCGGCCTGATGCTGCTCCTGAATCTGTTTCCTTATGATCATGTCCTGGAAATCTGCCTGAACACAGGCCGCTACTTTCCTAAGTGCATCGTGTTGAAGTGCTTTCCTCTTCTTTGCTCTATATATTTTTTGGATTACTTTTGTGGCCCACTGAATCTTTCGGTAAAAAAGATACTGTCTATACATTCGATATGTGCTTTGTATTATGATAGCAGCTCTGTGTTTTTCTCTTAACAGCTGTCTTGCTTTCATTCCCTTATATGCAGCCTGAATGACCAAAGCAGAATGTCTTTGTCGGACATAATTTTCTCTTTGCAGTTTTGCAGCTCTGTATATCCGGTAATGTTGCTGAATTAGAATTGAGGCATGTTTCCAAGCCTGAAAGGTAACATACGTCCTGTGCATTCTGTAAGTGGCCTGGATGAGAGATGCAGCCCTGTGCATCGCCTGAACCTTCTTCTTTGCCATCAGTCTTCGGTAAGATGACTGGATTGTAATGACCGCCCTTTGTACTTTCAAGAATTGATGCAAGTGATGCCTGGCACACGTGGTGGCCCGATATCTCCTCTGCACAAAAACAGCAGCTTTTTTGAGGGAAACAAATCTTTTCCTTACCACTAAACCCCTAAACCTGCTCTGAATTAGCACGGCAGAGGAATGCATCATTTTCAAATGCCTTCTCGCTTTCATACCCCTAAATGCAGCCTGAAGGATCAGGGCAGAATGTCTTTGTCGGAGATAACGTTGTCTCTGCAGTTTGGCAGCCCTGTTCGCTTGGTGTCGCTGCTGGATTACAACGGAGGCTTGTCTCACGGCCTGGTACCTCACGTGTGCTCTGTGCATTCTGAAAGCTGCCTGGATGACAGTGGCAGCCCTGTGCATCTCTTGCATCTTTTTCCTTACCACCCATCCTCTGTATGATGACTGGAGTGTAATGACCGCCTTTTGTAACCGCAGGAATTGTTGTAAGTGATGCTTTGCACAAACAGTTGCGCGGTATTTTCTCTGAACCCAAAGAGCGGTTTTCCTGAGAGACAGAAATCTTCTTCTCATCTTCAGAGTTCTAAATCTCCTCTGAATCAGAGTTGCAGCTAAATGCATCATTCTTAAATGTCTTCTAGCTTTCATCCCCCTAAAACCAGCCTGAATGCATACGGCGGAATGCCTTAATTTGTTATACCTTTGAAATTGTACGTTTCTCTCCTTCACTGCCCGGTACCTCTGCTGTACTGTTTGTGTTACCTTCTTTAACTTATTAAAATACGTTTCCTGTCTGTATCTTCTGTAACAGGACTGAATGCGTATTGCTGCATTCTGCATCTTCCTGAGAGTCTGTCTAACTCTTACTCCTCTAAAACTTGCCTGAAGAACAGTAACAGCTTTCAAAATTGTCAGGTACTTTGCACGCTGAATTTTACCTTGACAATATGCTCTGTATCTTACCTGAATGAGGACAGCTGCTGTTCTCATTTTGTGGTATCTTACTTTTGCTTGATGCATTTTAAACATGGCTTTAATGAAAGTGGCTGCTGTGTGCATGTGTTGAATACGTCTTCTCACTCTAATACCTCTAAAAACAGCTTGAATTTTAACTGCTGTCTTCTTTAAATTAAGATATTCCTTACGTTGACGGTTTGCAATTTTGATATTTCGATACCATCTCTGAATTAGAACAGCAGAAGCTCTGTAGGTTGCATAGTTTTTTTTGGCTTTGTAAGCTCTATATGTAGACTGTATAGCGACTGCCGCTTTGTTGTACTCCTTTATTTTTTTTCTTACTCTCATACTTCGGTAAGCAGACTGTATGATGACTATGGCCGCTTTGGTTTTCAGATACAACTGACGCTGTCTCCTTCCAATCCTGTACGCCCTATAATACATTTGAATCAGACGAGCAGCTTTTTTCATGATGTCCCACTTCTTTTGCTGCACATGCATTCTGTAGTATGACTGTATGATGACAGCACATTTGTGCTGCTTTCGAATCTGCCTTCTCACTATTTTTCCCTTCCATGTAGACTGAAGCATCAGTGCTGCGTTACGGAGTTCAGTGTATTCCATACGTTGCTTCTTTCCCGCGCTCCATGCTCTCAGATGTTGCTGGATGATTAATGCTGCTGTTTTGAACAATCTGAACTGTTTCTGGGTTTGGGCCATTCTAAAAGCAGACTGAATCCTCACCGCAGCTTGAAGTTCCCTTCTGATCTGCGTTCGAACTTTCCAGCCACGATAAGCAGATTGGAGAGAAATCACAGCTGACTTTGTCTCTAAAAATTGCATTCTTACATCACGAACAGTCCTGTATGTCCTGTACCATCTCTGAATCTTGATAGTAGACTGAAGCACATACTGATATTTCTTCCTTTTACTATAGCCTCTAAAAGCAGTTTGAATTTTAAGAGCAGCTATAGATTGCTGTTTGATTAGCTGGCGTACTTTATAACCTCTGTAAGCTGCCTGCACACAAGTAACTGCTCTTTTAACTTGCAGGAAGTTCTTCCTCTGACTGACCTGTGCTTTGTAAGCGCGATAGTAATTCTGAATGACAACAGCTGCTTTATACATTTCCAGGTAGTACTGCCGCATCTTTCTCATTCTGAAATAAGATTGTAGTGAAACAGCAGCTTTTCTCTGTGACCTCATCTGCTTTCGAACCAGGTGACCTCTAACAAAAGCTTGCAATTTGATACAAGATTCCCGCATCTGGACGTATTCTTCTCTCTTTAGTGCAGCCACTTTTATGGACCGGTACCATTGCTGGATAAATAGTGTGGCTGCTCTCAGATGTAAATACTGTTTACGAGTCTGTTTCATCTTGACAATTGACTGTAACTTTACTGTAGCATGTTTCAGTCTCAGAAATTTTTTTCTGGAAATATAAGCTCTATAATATGATTGAATTTTTATAATGGATGTGAGGATGTGAATAAACTTTCTCCTGGCTTGCATCCCTCTATATGCAGACTGTAGAACAATGACAGCAGAACGGGTTTTCTGGTAAGATGCTAGAGCTCTCTTGGCTAAAATAGAAGCTCGAAGATGAATCTGAATTATAAGGGCAGCTTTCTTTATCTTCTTATATTTCTGTAATTGCTGATGCATTCTTACTTGTGCCTGCAATTTGATAGTAATTTTCTTAAGGTTTAGAAATCGAAATCTGTCTCGTCTCATTCTCCAGTATGACTGAAAAACACAAGCAGCTCTAATTTGTCTGTGTAAATTACGAGCTTTCATCCCTCTGAAAGCAGCCTGTAGTTGAATGGCTGCAGCCCGTTTCTGCAAATAGTTGGCGCGCTCAGTCTTTCCTTTCAGATGTGCTCTGTAGAACTTTTGGATAGTCAGTATAGCCTCTTTTCTTCTTTTATATGACTTTTGGGCTTGAAGGCACCGAAACCTGGTCTGAATGATAACAACACAAGATCTAAGGTGAATATATTTCCGTAATTCTTTGTGCATTCTATACCATGACTGTATGACAACAGCAGATTTTTCTTCTTTAGCTCGTTTCCTGACATGCCATTCTCTAAAAGCTCTTTGCAATATTATTGTAGCTTTTATTTGTAATCGCATTTTATGTTGCTTCCATCTTCTGAACACAGACTGGATTATAAGAGATGATGATTTTAGCAACTCATATCTCTGTTGATCATGTTTCCTTCTTAAATAAGCAAGCCAATGTCTCTGAATTGTAACTGTAGCCCAAAGATATCGTTTGTAAGAAGTAACTGCTATTATCATTCTTATCCTAGATTGCAGGATGACTGAATAATATTTCAATTTCAGAAATTGTTTTCTAGTGGAATATCTTCTCCAATACCTCTGAAATGTAAGAAAGGACACAAAGTAAAACAGACATAACTTTCTATACTTAACACCTCTGCAAGTATTTTTCCTAACATTTTGCTTAAAAATAAACAAGTTAAATTAAAAAAACAATATATTTTTGGAAATTACTTGTCTCTTGTTTTTGTTTATGTTTGTAGTTATGTAGTTTCTATATTGACACAGCTGTAGCCAATTCAGAAATTGTGATCTCAATCTTAATGGTATTTATATTGCATCTGTATTTCAGAAACATAAGAAATATAAGCAAGTTTATGTTCTATTAGAATAACATATAAGAAACAGTCAAAATAAAATTATAGTGACATTCTGCTATCTATTGATTCTAAGTAATTTCCTATAAATATACCTTTAGATTTTGTATTTTCTCCTTAATATCAAGACTGCTAAGCTATCTGGTAATGATTGGAAACTGTTTACATGATGGACCCTGTTCAGGTCTAATAGTTTAAACACAGGAATTTGAGAAACAAGTGAGCCAGATCACTCTCATTTTTCTCATTAAAAATAAAATTACTTCTTCCCAAATTTTGGAATTATAGACTCACGGTCAGAAAGTAGTATTCTGAAAAGATCTGAGAAATGACAAACTGTTTATCTCTTGAATAGCCAAGGTTGGTTCCTTCTCATACCACCCACAGTCCCTAATTCCTTCGTCAGGGTGAGGGTTGGGGAAGAATTCCCTACTGCAGATGAATTTTCCTTACACATAAGGAAAACATTTTAGGGGCGAGGTACCTCTGTCTCCATTAGCACTGCCCATTGTTATGCACCTGTGCTTGGTCCAAGGACACCCACCCATGGGTGAGGAGAGTTAGGGACCCTCTAAGATTTTTCAACAGATATTGCCTTATTCCTTTACTATGTGTCAATTGTGGTTCTGTTTCTACTCTTCAGTCTGATGAGAAATAATGTGTACAGCACATTATTTCTCTTACTATAAAGAGATGCATAAATAACTAAAACATTATAAGTAAATTACAGAATATTAGAGACTGAAAGTTAAACCACAGTTAAACTCAACACTAATGAATATCACAAATTTAATAATGTAGAATAAAAGAATTTACATTGTTTGGACCCATCTAGATAAAATTAAAAAAAAAAAAAACAGGCAAGACAAAATGATAGTGTTTAAAGATGTGTAGAAAAAAGGCATGATTAGCATATATTAGAATAATGGTTACTTTGGGCTGGGGTGAGGAAGCTAATGGACTGAGAAATGGCTTCTGAGAAACTGACAATATTCTATTTCTTGACCTAGGTGGTGGTTACATGGGTATTCACTTTGTGAAAAACTATCAGGCTCTACATTTGTGTTTTGTGCAATTTTCTATGAGTAATACTTCACATTTAAAAATGGTTCCAAAAAGATAATTTGTTAAATCAGAATCCTTCACTTATCAACAGTAGTAGCCAGACACAAAAATTTCCGAATTTATAAAATATAAAATTATGGGGTGAAGCTTCAATGACATTTACATAGGGCAAATTTAAATAGTACACCTCTCCGATGTTATCAAAATAGAATCTAATATCAAAATCTCACACGAAGATATGTGGAATGGAATATGTCTATTATGTAAAGTAGATATGTTAAAAATTTTTTCTAAGCAGGAAACTAACATAGGCATTCTATATATAGATTATAAGTAATATTTCATTATATACCAACTAAGTGGGCTACAGAGGAAAACGCACACATTTATCCCAAAAGAAGTTTCCAGGACTCATAGTAAAGATTAAAAAAAGAGCGTGGTAGAGTTTGTGGACATACAAAGCAAAATGGTACAGTGGGTCAGCATGTCCCATGGAGAAGACTGCAAACCTCTAATATAAAACAAAGACAGAAGGGGTAAAGAATTAAGACTATTCGCTCCTTCAAAGCAAAGGAAGCATTTTGATTTGTTTGAGCCTTATGCTGATCATAGTAGTAGGTAGTAGGAAAGTATTAAATATTTGTTAAAGTACGAGAAAAACACGAAAGCCTAAGATATACTTTAAAACTTTATATTTTACTTTCTTTCTTAAAAATGTCATTAAAACTTTTTAAATTCAAAATACCAGGATGCTATACCTGAATAACTGATGCTGATTTATTTTGAACTTTTTCTAGTTTTTCCTTTTTTAACATTAATAACTTTCTTTGTGCTAAGAGTCTTCGCCAATGTTTCTGAATGGCCAATGCTGCATTAATCTCCTTTTTCAATCGTTGTTTAGATAGAAAACTGATTACAGCTGATTGAATGATTCTTGCAGCTTTGTCTCTCTCCTAAAAAAAAAAAAAAAAAAAAAAAACAGAAGACAAAAAACAAAAACAAGCAAATATGAATCAAAAACTTAATTACTTAAGACCCTAAACCATTATTTGTAAGAAAATAATTTGTTAAATATTAATCAAATTGATCCTGAAAATAAAACATTCCTCAGACTTAAGATAGGCTCATCTTTGGAGTAAAGATAATTCTGGGAATGATGAATGGTCCGATAGGTGGATTTGCATATATATTTATAGGATGAAACAAAAATTCCTAGTAAATATAAGTCTAAAATAAAGATCATACACATGTTTGATATACCACAGTTTGTCAGTAATAAATGTAAAGGCAATTTAAATACGGTATGTTTATCAGATTATGGCCCAGATTCATGCTTGATTTTTTATTTTTTTTTTTTTTTTATTTTTTTTTTTTTTTAATGTTAACGCTATTTATTTTTTGGGACAGAGAGAGACAGAACATGAACTGGCGAGGCAGAGAGAGAGGGAGACAGAATCGATAGGCTCAGGCTCAGCCATCAGCCCAGAGCCTCGACGCGGGTCAAACGATCCTGACAGATGCAGACCTGGCTGAAGTCGGACGCTAACTCGGACACTGGTTAAGGCGCACACCCAGGCTTCCTTCTCATGCTTGATTTTTTAAAAAGAGGGGGACTATGGGGGGGTGTTGGGGAAGAGACCCTAAAATAAACAAAATGCCTTACAATAGAATATAGTATTGTTTTGTTACAACTTGAACAAAAGAATTAACAAAAAGAGAGAAGCAGCAAAATACCACTTTTAGCACAGGCTACAACGGTTTTACAGCATAGACACTCAACAGATAAGAATATTGGATTATGAGAAGTGGTATCAGGACCTATGCCCGACAGCATAGGTGCTCAAAGAGGAGCCACCTACCCTGGGAGCACTATAGGCTGGTACCCCACATGTCTCTAGATCCATGACTCCTAATAATGCATTACTAAGAAAAACAACATAAGTTAAATACTTACTAGGCACTAGGCACCATTCTAAACACTTCATGAATGGTTCATCTAAATCTCACACAACTGTAAGAGCAGATGAACAGGTACTAATTTTATGACTATGAGGAAACTGAGACAGAGCAGTCAAGTAGATTGTCAGTCCACTGGTAAGATAACCAGGATTTGAACTAGGCAATCACTTTGCCAAACTCTTCAAGGCTAGATTTATCATTTCAGTTACCTGAACTGGAAACTAGAATAGAAGTCATTCCCTCTTATGGCAAGAACAATTTATAGCATGTGTGACAACCTCTTTGTAGCTAAATGGGACAGCTCACCATCCAAGGGTGGGCTCTACACAGATATTAGCTATAGGTTCTAGTTATTAATTAATCCTAATCAGTTGTTGAGTGGAAACTGCACAGTATGGGAACACATTCACTTACGGAAGGGATCAAACTGCCACTCTAAGAAAGGAAAAATGTAGTTAATGGATTGAAACAAATACTAACAAATGGTGAGAGTCATATATTAGATCACTTCTGAGAAAAGACTAGACAATTCTAAAACTGGGCTGCGGAATTATGTCCAACAAACTCAGTAAGCCATCTAATATCACTGTCAGTAAGTCCCATGTGAAGCATATGGACTTTAAGGTTACAGATAGCCAAGTTAAAAGCATCCCTCCCCCCTGCCACAATTTCAAAACATATTTCAGAGCTACGATAATCAAACAGTGTGGTCCTAGCAGAAAGACAGGCACATAGACCAATGGCACAGAATAGAGAGCCCACAAATACACTCTCATATATGTGGATAAATGATTCTTGACAAGGGTACCAAGAATGATCTATGGGAAAAGAACAGTCTCTTTAGTAAACGATGCTGGAAAAACTAGACATCCATATACAAAAGAAAGAAGTTAGACCCTTTTCTTATGCCATATAAATTAACTCCCAATGGACTAAAGTCCTAAATGTAGGACCTAAAACTATAAAACTACTTATAGAAAACATAGAGAAAAATTTGATTAACATTGGATTTAGCAATGATTTATAGGATGACACCAAAAGCACAAGCAACAAAAACAAAGAGTAGACAAATGGGGTTACATCAAACAAAAAAATTATATTCTGTGAAGGACACAATCAACAGAGAGAAAAACCATCTACAGAATGAGAAAAAAAATATTTGCAAATCATATATGTAATAAGGTACTTGTACCTAGAATATATAAAGAATTCCTATAACTCAACAACAGAAATATCCGATAGCCTGACATACAAATGGCTAACACACAAATGAAAAGATGCTCAACAACACCAATTATCAGAGAAACGCAAATCAAAACCACAATGAGATATCTCTGTACTATTAACGAGTATTGGCAGGGATGTGGAGAAGTTGGAATCCTCATGCACTATTGGCGGGATTGTAAAATGCAATGAAATAGTACGGCAGTTCTTCAAAAAAAGTTTAAAACTGAAACTACCATATGTCCAGCAATCCCACTTCTGGGTACATATTCCAAAAAACTGAAAGTACAGTCTCAAAGAGACACACCCATGTTCAGAGGCATTATTCACAAGAACCCACAGGTGGGAATAACCCAAATGCCCAGTGAAAGATGAATGTATAAACCAAATGTGGTATATACACACAATGGAATACTATGCAGCCTTTAAAATGAAGGAAATTCTGGGGCGCCTGGGTGGCGCAGTCGGTTAAGCGTCCGACTTCAGCCAGGTCACGATCTCGTGGTCCGTGAGTTCGAGCCCCGCGTCAGGCTCTGGGCTGATGGCTCAGAGCCTGGAGCCTGTTTCCGATTCTGTGTCTCCCTCTCTCTCTGCCCCTCCCCCGTTCATGCTCTGTCTCTCTCTGTCCCAAAAATAAATAAAAAAATGTTGAAAAAAAAAATTTTAAAAAAATGAAGGAAATTCTTCCACAAGCTACAACATGGGTGAACCTTGAGGACATACACTAGGTGAAATGATCCACTGACAAAAGGGCAAATATCGCATGACTTCACATACATGAGGCATCTAAAATAGTCACCCTTCATAGAAATAGAAAGTAGCACGATGATTTCCAGGGCTGGGGGAGAGGGAAACGGGAGTTATTTCATGAGCACAATTTCAGTTGTGCAAGTTAAACAAATTCTGGAGCTCTGTTTCATAGCAATGTAAACACGCTTAACACTATTGAACTGTACGCTGAAAAAAAGTTAAGACGGTAAGTTTTATGATATGTGTTCTTCACCACAATTTTTAAAAACTGGGTTTAAAAAAGCATTCCCTATTAGCTTAAAAAAATGGAGTCAAAAGTTGCATTTGAGTCAAAAGTTCTTAGAGCAAGGGGCATTCTTAGATACAGTAGGCTAAGGTAAGTTGACACTTTCCTGTTTGAAGGTTATCTCAATCTCAAGCAAAGTAAATGGAACGATTTTATGTGACATTAGGGAAGCTACAGATGGAAAGGAGACAAATTCAAGGAGGTGAACATGTGATGAAATTAGCAACTTTGAAAACTTATACAAACTGATGGTGAAAGTTCCAATGCTGGCAGTCACTGACTGTTTTCTAAATTAGACCACCGTCATCATTTTAAATCCTATGCTGTTGGACAGCCAACAGCCAACCTGTTACAGGCTTGTTTTATTTTACCTTGCATATGAGCCAAACACAGGGATTTACTTTGCTTTGCAGTTTGTGCCGACACTTTGACGGGAAGAACTAAATGGTAGAACGGGTCAGGGGACCCTTGGACAATCCTGCTTCATTCATTAGGTAATTGGGCCATTAGTCAATTTTCACTTGTCTCTGCAAGAACTTGGGCCATTCTATTCTCAATGGATAGTTTGTACTAATTACAACAGTGACATGAAAGTAAATTTAACACCTGAAAAATCAGCTATCTCAAGTTGGTATTTATAGGTTTATTAGCTTATAATATTTTTATGAGAATATACAGGGAACCTACTGCTTAATGTTCCAAATAGCAAATGAAAAGATATAATTGGGTGTTAGCATAATTGTATAAGAGAGGGAACATGGTCACTTGAGAAAGGAGAAAAGCAGTGGTCTCTAAAAAATAGGGAAATTTCTACTACTTACATCAAAGAAATAAATCAGGAAAAGAGATCTCACCAGCAAAGAGCTAAGAAATCTTTGCAGTTTATAGCTTCTTAAAACAAGATCATCTCGAGCAGGAAAATGAAGATTTCATTTGCCACTCACCGACCCCCCACAAATTCTGATAAATATCTGTTTCTTGGGATTTTAAATATCTTATTTAATATCATATAAACAGAATTAATGAAATAATTTGAGAACTAGCCAGGAAAGAGTCTTCGCTGAAAACTCTCCTAAAGCAATTCTCCTACAAGCTTCCAAAAGACAAAAGTTATCCTTGAAGGGATATGTGGGCAAGGAGGCAGATACTGAGAAGATGGAGGGCAAAAGAAGGCACAAAGAAGATATGACAGCAGAAAAGACCATTTGTGAGTATAAGCCACTGCCTAGCTCCCAAAAGTTACTACCAAGAGTTTGAGTAGGGTGAAAGCAAATTTCAATTAATGTTATTTCTGAGTCTGATAAACTATGACAAAATACATGGTATGTGTAAGAGTTGCCAAAATGTAACTGTTTTTATAGAGTTATTAAGGACTCTATCCTAAATGCACAGTAACTCAAAATTGAGGAGCAGTATCGGGTGGAATGTATTTCTGAAATACCTGATAAATGTATCAAGCATGGTTGCTCATTTTATTTTGTTTGATTTTCCAAATAAGTGAGTATAGGATTATTAGTGGAAGGAGTAGGTAGAAAAAAGGACTAAAATAGTTTGTTCAACTTGATCAACACCACTTAACAGATGGTTAAAAATCACATTTTTCTCGAAACTAAAAAAATCACTTATGTTAATACAAAGTTGTATAGTATTAGGGTCACAAAGGGAAATAATAAGTAACATTCCTATCCCTATGCCCAGGTCCTAAATATCTTGAGAAATAAAACAACAGAAACCAAAGTACCACTTTTAAACTAATAAAGAGGGGAGCCTGGGTGGCTCAGTCAGTTAAGCATCCGACTTGGGCTCAGGTCATGATCTCACAGTTCGTGGGTTCGAGCCCCGCATCGGGCTCTGTGCTGACAGCTCAGAGCCGAGAGCCTGTTTCAGATTCTGTGTCTCCCTCTCTGTCTGCCCTTCCCCTACTCATGCTCCATGTCTCTCTCTCTCTCTCTCCCCCACTCTCTCTCTCAAAAATAAATAAACATTAAAAAAAAATAAAGAAAACACTGGAAAACAGTTTCATGACAGACAGAATGAACTGGCTAACTGAACTACAAAACCAGACACTAGACGCCTAGACCCAAGGGCCACTCCAGCACCAAGATCAAGCCTCCCCGAACACAGCATGAAAACCTCATGGAAAGCTCCTGTTCCCTGGAGATACGTTAGATTCCAAGAAGAAGCAAATGCTGAGTCAGGTCTCCTGAGTTTACTTTTACAAATTTACAAAGGAAGTAAGTTATTCTACTTCCCCCGGAGCAAACTTGGGGAAAGCGGCTGGAAGACACATCCACTGAACCAAACATCAGGAGTTAGGGAGAAATATCCATCCCTAACTCAAAACACATACAATTACAAAAATTATGTCCATAGTTTCACACATCAATAAAACGTAAAAATCCTATCAGGAATCAACCAACTGGCATTTTGCGAAGTACAATTCACATTACAGTGTTTTCATTTTTTACTAGTACCTGATGACGTTTTAGGTCTGTTTTTAGTTTGTATTTTCTCCAAGTTGTCTGTATAAGTCGAGCAGCTCTTGTTTCTTTACAAAGATCCAAAAGTCTTGCACAAAGAAATGACAAATAGGTAATAACCACCTAAGAGACAACAGAAGAGATGAAAGCAGATGTTTAACAGAGATTGTGCAACTTTTACTGTCACCTTCTGAGACTCTTATTCTTAGTTAGAAACTCTTCTTTTACTTACCTTTTCGTCAGGAATCGTATTGGACATATCTGAATGATGAATCATAGCAGGTATTCCACCAAGGTCTCTAACTGCAGACCTAACCAACTGAAAATTTTTCTTCTCATTTTCTAGCAGTTCTTTGTATAGTTCTGAAGTGTTTTCTACTATGCAAATAAAAAAGAGATTAGACAGGTCCAGTCAAAAATCTCACACGGCAAAGAAAAACTTGAAACGTTCATCAGCCAAAAGGGACTAACCATGATCAAGTGCTTTAAGAGACAAATCCAGAGAACTTCCATCGGATTCAGAGGATGAATTTAACACCACTGAACCAGTCTGGGTGCATTCTACGGTCTGAGTAGTGCGCTGACATATAGCATCAAAAGGCACATAGTAAGGATGGTAGTGATGGATCAGGTAACATAACACACGCCCATCTGAGAAAGACACTGTAAAATTCTCCACCTGATGGAAATACCAGAAACATAATTAACTGGGATTATATAGTAATATAGGTTATTAGTGGTTTTACGGTCCATATTTCCTTTTAACAGCTGAGAATATCACATTAGGTGTTAATAGGACCTAGAAGAATACTATATTTATAGCCAAATTCTCAATTATAAAATTCTATTTCAAAAACAAAATTTGAGTGGCTCGGTTGGTTGAGTGTCCAACTTCGGCTCAGGTCATGATCTCCAGATTTCATGAGTTCGAGCCCTGAGTTGGGCTCTGTGCTGACAGCTCAGAGCCTGAAGCCTGCTTCGTGTCTGGGTCTCCCTCCCTCTCTCTTCCCCTCCCCTGTTCATGCTCTGTCTCTCTCTCAAAAATAAATAAACATGAAAAAAATTTTTTGATTATTGTGCTGGGAGAAATAGGATCCCTCAAAAAATTCGCGTCCTTCCTAGGGCCTGAGAATGTCACATTATTCAGATATAGACTCATTGCAGATTTAATTTGTTGAGATGAGGTCATACTGCAGTAGTGTGGGTTCTCAGTATCAGTATGTCTGGTATCCTTATATGGAGAGAGACACAGAGGCAGACACAGGAAGATGCTATGTGAGAACAGAGGTGGAGATTGGAATAATGTATCTGTAAGTGAAGGAATGTCAAGGATTGCCAGCAACACCAGAAGTTAAGAGAAAAGTTTGGAACACACTCTCCGCTAATCTTTAGTGGCTCTCTAATATTTAGTTAAAACGTGGAAGATGATCCATCTATCTTTTTTTCTATAACCAGAGTCGTTCAAGGTATAATACTTTATTATATTCAGTTACATGTATTCTGTATCATTTTTCTGGCTTCATATTCCCTACCAGATATTTTATTCATTTTTACATATTTACAATTAAAGGTATAGTTCACACAGAAATATAGTATCAGTCTAATAAAACACTCAACTTAGATTTTTTCCTCCTCCTTGTACCCAGCGGTCAGGTTCTCTATTGATCCTTCCTGCATGATGGGTTTATTTGAATTTACCTTTATAAAAAGGGTGTGATCCTTAGGTGTCCCAGTTTTATACAAGTGTCTCCTATTAAAACTCCTGACTAGAACAATTTTTCTTAGTAATTGTGCATTACACAATTGGTGACAGATTAAATACAGTTAAGTGAAAATATCCTTACTCATTTGAGGACAAGTTTGCTCATATATAAACTAAATTATTTAAGAAATGCAATGAAATATTTTAGGAATTGAAGTCTGACTTTAACCAAAATGTATTTAAAATGTATTTGTTTTGTAAAACAAAACAAAACAAAGAAACTTACCTTTTTATTATAGAAAGCACAAACAGCATTTACCCAATCCATCAACAGCTTTATGCTCTCACTATATCGTTCAAAGGAACCACTATTCCTTTTGTCTTTTTCCTTATTGATAATAGCATCAGAATGGCATGACAGTGCAGACGTTGTTTTCTTCAGACTCTGTGTGTGTTTTAAAAAGTCAATTTCTTCTTTCAACTGGTCTAAATTAAGGGAAATATCCACCTGAAACACACAAAAAAAGATAAGTCTCGGGGCGCCTGGGTGGCGCAGTCGGTTAAGCGTCCGACTTCAGCCAGGTCACGATCTCGCGGTCCGCGAGTTCGAGCCCCGCGTCGGGCTCTGGGCTGATGGCTCAGAGCCTGGAGCCTGTTTCCGATTCTGTGTCTCCCTCTCTCTCTCTGCCCCTCCCCCGTTCATGCTCTGTCTCTCTCTGTCCCAAAAATAAATAAATGTTGAAAAAAAAAAAAAAAAAAAAAAAAGATAAGTCTCTTTATGTTTTTCATGTGTCATTTGTAACCCACAAAAGTTAGTCTTTTCCTATGTTTCCTATAAACATAGTTTATCAAGCAGTGGAATGCATAGTGGTTAATGTGTGTCATGTGAATCACACAGAAGATTTGGGACCACACGATCCTGGGTTCTAGTCTCGTCTCTGCTTCCTATCAATAAGGTAACTTTTAGCTTTGGTTTTCTTACCTATGAGGTAATGACAACACCTACCTTACACGGGTGTTGTGAAGATTAAATTGGAATATATATAAAGCAATTACCACAGTTCCTGGGACAGAATAAACCCTAGTAATTTTGCTAGTCCTTATCTGATGCAAAATGCTTCTATAAATCAGTACTGAAAATTGACAAAAAGTGCAAAATTTACAAAATGTACAATACCTGAAAAGCAAATGCTATTTTCCAAAGTAACGCAAGAGTTTTTTCTCTGTGCCTATCCACAATATCCTTAGATAGGATTGCATTTCCTGTAAATGAAATCAGTTTGTTAGCACAATCTATGTATATATCAATTTTTGGTGAGAAGAAAAATTTTTATCTTTACTCAATTTTTACCATGTTCATCATTTAATTGAATTCCTCGTGATCTAAGAATTTGAAGAACAACGTCGACATTGTGCATCTTCTGAAGACGACTTATTGCAGGGATCCTGAGTTTCTTTGAGAGATTCCAGTCCCGTGTGAGAAGTTCCATGATTCGCCTAACAATAAAGGAATTTTCAGATGAGACTGTCATATAAAAATATATAGGAAAAGCCCCCTGCATCAAAAGATGGGTCTCAAACCATATCCCAAAATGTCATAAATAACCTGTCCTTACCTTCCCCACACTGAGATGCTAAGAATCTGTCAGTGTATGATTGTCCTTATCACAGGAAAAAATAAACTTAACTTTGCTTTAAAAAACAAAAAAAACAGGGGTGCTTGCGTGGCTCAGTTGGTGAAGTTCTAGTCATATTCTCACAGTTTGTGAGATTGAGCCCCGTGTCGGGCTCCATGCTAATAGCATGGGATCTGCTTGGGATTTTCTCTCTCCCTCTTTCTCTGCCCCTCCCTGGCTTGTGCTCTCTCTCTCTCTCTCTCCCTCTCTCTCTCAAAATAAATACAAATAAACTTAACCCCCCCCACACACATATAAAAACAAAAACAAAACGAAATAAAATATATACGTAAGATGAAATTTATTTAAATACAGTTATCACCCACATAAATTTCCAACATTTAAAGAATTTTAGGTTAGAAAGATCCCAAAAAACTATCTGAAAACTGTTGCTTCATAGTTAGCAAATAAGAGTCATTCTCATTTTAAGCCTAGGGTTTGAGGTCTATGAACAAAATGTAAAAAAAAAAAAAAAAAAAAAAAAAAAAAAAAAGATGAGACACACATAAAGAACACATGAACAAAATAACAGAGTTCTACAGGGAAAGGAAAGCAGAAAGTATATTTATGGAGGGGCTACTGTATTCTACAAATCAAGGACGTGCTGTCTTTTCTTAGTCCTCACAGCAAATCCCACAATCAGGCATTATTATCCCACTTTTTTGCAGATGAAGGAACCAAAGCCCAGACAAATTAAGTAAATTGCTTGTGGTCACATAGCTAATAATGACAGAACTGAGATCAGAACTCAAACTCAGTTTTATCAAATTCCAAAGCCATCCTGGTATATACACCAGATTATTGTAAAAATATGAACACCTATCTCAAAAAGACACATACACTTCAATTTAAATTCAAACCCCTAATATCATCTAGGTCACTAGTATTTTATCTACTAGACAATAATCAGTGTTTCTATAGAAAAAGCAAGCTTCAATGGATTATTATACATAGCTAAAATTTGGCAGAATTGTTTACAGAACCATAATTTCTAAAGGTTAGAAAGCAACTTAAGATCATTCCAGGTCAACTGCCCAATCAACATATGAAGCATTTCTGCAACAGTAGACCACCTCATCACCTATGGCATTAGTACATCAACCATTCTCAAGCATTGTCAAATAACTTCAAAGATCTATGATCATTTTGCTGACGCTGAAGAAAGTAGAAATCTGGTATGCATGGTCAAGTCTCTTAACTAGTGAGAGGTTCTGATCAAATAAAAAGCATCAATGTTCAATACTGCTAAGTCCTCAGTAAGTCTTGTAAAAACATAAAAAATGTCTGTCATTGTGGAAAATAGCACTAAACATGAAACCAATCACTGCCCCTCCTGGAAAGTAGAAAAAGTCTAAAAATGTGAATTCTTATTGGCCAGAAAACAGATGTGGCAGCTTGGATTTATGAAATGAACAAATTAAATACAAAAATAACATGTGAAACATTTTCAGCCAATGCACTAGCCTCTATGGAAACTGCTCAAGTAAGAGAAAGCTACAATAAAGTTCAAAAGCTATTACCTTGCTGTGAGAACATATGATCAGAAAAGAATGTTCATGGAAATTTAATTTAGAAGGAAGCATGTGACATGTATGTTGCTTTTGAAGAAGTGGGGATTTTTCCAGAGATCCCTTCCTCACAAATGTCAAATGTAACATAAATTTGGAGAGTTTCCTAGAAATAAGACAAATGTCTCCAATGTGGACATCTTAAAGCGGTCAACTATAGTACCATGCTCACGACCACTCCTTCCAAAGCAGGAACAGCACACTGAATTCACATAACAGCCGATTTCGAAGATTCTAGTTTGTTACTGACAGATGCTGCGTGCTTTGAAGCCAGACATCCTGAGTTTATGTCTCAATATCATGATATAAAACTTGGGCAAGGCCTGTCACTTCATCTTACTTTTCCTCATATGTAAAACAAGGTTATTAATACTGCTAGAATTGGTCCCAAGTGATGGAGTACTCATGAAATCATTGATGATACACGTGATACTTAAATGTTTGATATTTTAATTAGTTCCATGCTTGTCCCAACTCCTATTCTGGGGCATCAATAGTTCCTACTCACAGTGACCCTAGTCACTGCCAGCATGGAAAAAAAATGTGGACAGGAGACATGGTTTAAAATTGACACATTTTACCAAAGTGTTGGAGATATTTACCCCAAGTTTTTTAATCCTGAAATTTATTGCATTATATGAAAGAGCAGGAAAGACTGTGTAAATACAGAAAAGTGTTTTCTAGAAAATTTTAGTCTATTCCATTAAGGAAAATAATTCTATTTCTTATACTTACACAAGACGCACTCCACATTGCAAGTCTACAGCAAGATTTGTAACAGCAAAATCAAATTCATCAAATGGTGTCTGCACATGGTTAACAGGTAATCCCAAAAAGCTAAGGTGACGGGAAAGGTCACCTTCACCGCTTAGGAAGTCTCGTGAAAAAGCCAGAAGAATTTCTTTACTAGTCTATGGAGAAACAAGTTGCAGGTATTATATTCCAAGATTATAATTTTGTTTGCAATAATAACAAATTCTTAAAATTCTGAGCATATAGAAATAAAGTAAAATTAATGGTAGTATAAAAAAAGTGTCAGGGCGTGCCTGGGTGGCTTAGTTGGGTGGCTTAGTTGGTTAAGCGTCTGACTCTTGGTTTCAGTTCAGGTCATGATCTCAGAGTTCATGAGATTGAGCCCCACATCAGGCTCTGTGATGACAGTGCGGGGCCTGCTTGGGATTCTCTCTCTCTCTCTCTCTCTCTCTGCTCTTCCACTATTCCTGCATGTGTTCTCTCTCTCTCTCCCAAAATAAACAAATAAACATTTAAAGAAAAAAAATGTCGGTTTTATATCATACAGTAATAATGAACATCTATTTCCAATTTAAGGCCTTGGAAAAAATTACTCATAATAATAGACTCCAAAAATTAGTATTAATTTTTTTTTAATGTTTATTTATTTTTGAGACAGAGAGAGAGCATGAACGGGGGAGGGGCAGAGAGAGAGGGAGACCCAGAATCCGAAGCAGGCTCCAGGCTCGGAGCTGTCAGCACAGAGCCTGATGTGGGCCTTGAACTCATGGACTGTGAGATCATGACCTGAGCCAAAGTCAGACACTCAACTGACTGAGCCACCCAGGCGCTCCTGTATTAATTTGATAATATGCTAAATTAGGAGTGAAATCTCTCCCCAACCCAAAGTTAATTCCTCAGAAGTATAGTTTCATTGATTCTCAAATCAAAGTTAATAGGGTGTGCCGGTGAAAGGTCAACCTTTCACCTTAAGTTAGGTGGGGTTAAAACTACTAGTAAGACGGACTACACAGGCATTCCTATTCCACTCCAGAGTATTGTTCTTTGGGAAACTTCAAAGTTTTTAAGGAGAAAATACACAACAGAAACAAGCAAAAGTCTTAAATGTGAAATATAAAAGAAATGAAAACTATACCTTGAATTCAGCATCTTTACAGAAGAGACAAGGATCATGATCAATAAGTCTGGAGATTTTGGCATAATCAAGGAAACAAACCAACAACAACAACTTTTTCAATGTAAACTTAGACAAAGCTTCTTCATGACCTTCAATGAAGTACAAAAAAGCACAGCAAGTTAATCTGTGAAAGACAAGTTTCACCTGAAAATATAACAACGTGCTAATAAAGAAAAGTAATAGTAAGCATAAATAGAACCCTATGTGCCTTTCTCAGTGTTTTATATATATGAATTCATGTACTACTCATAGTAACTCTATGAGGCAGGTATCATTTAATATTTCCAGTTCATAGAGGAGGAAACAGAGGCACAGAGATATCAAGTGATTTAGTCTATCTCATGCAACAAATATTTAATGAGCACCTACTATGCAGGTAGCATCCTGGGTGCCATATGTGGTAGCAAACTAAAACTACTATGATCTCCGCAGGCCTTACTGCCTACTTCTGGGGACAGGGTGAGTAGAGACAATAAAAAGGTAAAAATAATTATAGTGATGGAGGAAATGATGGGGAATGATGAGGGTAAAGAAAGGGAGGAGAGTAGAGAGAGGGACTGACTATTCATATTGGCAGCTCTAAGAAGGTAAAATTTAAACAGAGACAGGAAGAATAAGAAGACAACATTTATGCAGAGTGTGGAGAGGACGCCGTGGTGGCAGAACTACTTACCATCTCTATAGAGATGAGGAACACTGGGGTGTCTATACTCAGCGGCTATATCAGGATTCCAAAGTAAGCGATTCAGAATAAACACAGCCAACCCTGTGACATCACTGTTATCTTCCAAAGATATGAGTTCTCCATAAATTGTCTGAAAAGAAATTAAAAGCTAAAGTCAAGACTATGTTACCTTTAAGAAGCAAAGGGATACAAGAGGGGGAGGGCAGACTATGATCTTCTAAGGATCTTCTAATGTTCTATTTTCTAAATAGTATGTAAATAACATGGATATTTGCCAAATAACTTCTTTAAACTGTGTATATGTTTTGTGCAGTTTTTAGTGCATATGGTGTATGATGAAAAAAGGCAAAAGCTCAAGGCTAAGATAAATTCTTAAGTATCTGACAAGTGATATTTACATTTTAATGTTTTCCTTTAAAGAACTATCAAATGTATGGGGTGCCTGGGTGGCTCAGTTGATTAAGTGACTGATTTCAGCTCAGGTCATGATCTCATAGTTTATGAGTTCAAGCCCTGCATTGGGCTCTGGGCTGATAGCTCAGACCCTGGAGCCTGCTTCGTATTATGTCTCCCTGTCTCTCTCTGCCCCTCCCCTGTTCACGCTCTCTCAAAAAGAAACAAACATTTAAAAAAAACCCAAAAACTACCAAATGTAGGCATATTGTTCAAATTCAATTAGAATTGTCGCGCTAAGTATATCATGAAGGTACAACAGAAACGAAAATATTCAAAATTTTCTAATAGTCAACACGTGGAAACTCATCTGCAAATAATCTAAGATAACAATTTGGGAAGTTCAGATCCATTTATAATTAATGATTTAAATACGAAATTAGTTTAACATCAACATGCCTAGTTTAATGATTTTTAAAGTGATTAGAAAAAACTAAAAACATATCAAATTATACCCTATAACCTTATGTTAACAAAATATGGAGATAAAAGCATAGGAAGTATATGTCAAAATAGAAAAACTGCATTTTTATTTACTTATGTTTTTTGCCTTTGATGTTTTCTTAAAATCCTCAAAGGTTATGCCCACTACCAGAACCTGGAAGTGTGGCGGTGAGGTAAAATATTTTGTTCACAAGGACTCATCCCTCCCTTCCCTTTAAAAGGATTGTACATCCCCACCAACTGCCATGGACTTGCTGTCCTAGTTCATTTATGTTTGGCCAAATAATGTGCTCTGGCCAGTGGAATATGCGCATTTTATCCAAGCAGAAGTTTTAAAAGGCATTAAGTTTCCACCTAAGCCTCTTGCTTTTTACCTTTGGCACAAAATGCTGTGTCCCAAATAGAAGGATTATACTCCAGTTAAGGTTCTAGAGTTATTTGACTTGTGAAGCAGAGCTGGTCGATACGTAATTTTCTGATTAACGAAGTATACTAAACTGAAATAAGAAATCTTAGCAATGACACTATCCAGCTGTATGACCACTGTAAGTTTATCATTTGTTCTCTTTGTGCCACAGCTTCTTGATAAATAAGAGCCAAATTATTGCTAACAATTCCTTTCAGTCCCAAAGATCATTCTATTCCAACACCTGGAATAAGCTGAAGAACAGAATATCTCACATGACAATGGCACAAAGCCTAAAGAAAATGTAAAAGTGTACCAGTAAAAGACGAAAGAAATCTATAAACACAGAGAGGATGTTTTAAATAAAATCATATTTTTAATTTACAACCGCTAAGGTCCTTTTCATTCAGTTTTAAAATCCTAAGTATTATTGAGCTATGCACCAAGTGAAAAACTCAAATTCAACGTTTTTATGGGAAGAGTTACATCAACATGGCTACAAGTTTGGACTCTGGCATCAGACTGGCATAGTCTCAAATCCTGACTACTAGTTGGCATCTGGCATGTTACTTAAAATCTAAGGTTCAGGGGCGCCTGGGTGGCGCAGTCGGTTAAGCGTCCGACTTCAGCCAGGTCGCGATCTCGCGGTCCGTGAGTTCGAGCCCCGCGTCGGGCTCTGGGCTGATGGCTCAGAGCCTGGAGCCTGTTTCCGATTCTGTGTCTCCCTCTCTCTCTGCCCCTCGCCCGTTCATGCTCTGTCTCTCTCTGTCCCAAAAATAAATAAACGTTGAAAAAAAAAAAAAAAAAAAAA